TGCTTCCTAAAGTCCACAAGAACCTCCACTGTCTTCTGGGCATTTAACACTAGGTTGTTGTGGCTGCACCAGGGGCCTTGGAAGGGCAGATTGGAAGATGAACACAAGACATTTTTGTGTACAATTTATTTTTGGTTTTAGGTGCCTTCCTCCATCTGACTGCAGCATTTGTATCAACACGTTACAACTTAATTAAAAGTTGTTTGATAAGCTATCATCTTGTCTTTATTATTAGACGGCACATAGCTGATCAGACTTCACACTAGAAGCTAATGATGGTATATTAGAGCATCCTGATGCAAAAAGCTAAACTTTTATGCATGACAGGATTACCGTAGTCTACTAATTGTCAACAAAACTGGCTACTAGTCGACTACTAAAATAGTAGTTTGTGGCAGCCCCAGTTTCTATCTATCTATCTATCCATTCTATCTATCTATCTATCTATCTATCTATCTATCTATCTATCTATCTATCTATCTATCTATCTATCTATCTATCTATCTATCTATCTATCTATCTATCTATCTATCTATCTATCTATCTATCTATCTATCTATCTATCTATCTATCTATCTTTCTATCTATCTATCTATCTATCTGTCTATCTATCTGTCTGTCTATCTATCTGATCTATCTATCTATCTATCTAACTATCTATCTATCTATCTATCTATCTATCTATCTATCTATCTATCTATCTATCTATCTATCTATCTATCTATCTATCATCTATCCATCTATCTATCATCTATCTATCATCTATCTATCATCTATCTATCTATCTATCATCTATCTATCTATTCTATCTATCTATCTATCTATCTATCTATCTATCTATCTATCTATCTATCTATCTATCTATCTATCTATCTATCTATCTATCTATCTATCTATCTATCTATCTATCTTTCTATCATCATCTATCTATCTATCTAACTGATCTATCATCTATCTATCGATCTATCTATCTATCTATCTATCTATCTATCTATCTATCTATCTATCTATCTATCTATCTATCTATCTATCTATCTATCTCTATCTATCTATCTATCTGTCTATCTGTCTGTCTGTCTATATAGGGGCTGCAGTAGCTCAACTGGTTGAGCGGGTTGTCAAGTAATTGGAAGGTTGCTGGTTCGATCCCGACTCTGGACAGAGAATACTGGTGTTGTGTCCTTGGGCAAGACACTTAACCCACCTTGCCTGCTGGTGGTGGTCGGACGGACGGTGGCGCCTGTGCTGGGCAGCCTCGCCTCTGTCAGTGCGCCTCAGGGCAGCTGTGGCTACATCGTAGCTCATCCCCACCAGTGTGTGAATGTGTGTGTGTGAATGGATTGAATGACACTCTGTAGTGTAAAGCGCTTGGAGTCCTTACTCTGAGAGGCGCTATACAAGTGTGGGTCATTTATCATTATCAAATCCAATTTTCCTAATTGTAACATCACAGAGTGGCTTTTTTCGAAACGCCTTGATTTTAGATCTATAAATTCCTAAAATCAAACACAGACAGGAAAATTGATTGACAATATTAATTTTTTTTTACAACAGGAGTATTTAAAGAGGTAGTAGAGACCCACATGGCAGCACAAAAGGATTCAAAAGATGAGTTGAGGTCCTCTGTAACTGCGTCACACTGCTGTGTTGATCCTGTGTGATCAACTTGTGTGCTGAGCTTTTATTGATGCGATTAGCTTTCAGTGCAAAGAACTCCAACTGCAGTAACTGTGACTCTGAGGCATGAATAAAAATGAGCCTACAAATAAATAATAAACAAATAATTTACAATAAATTTATGGTCAATTGTGTCTTTGTAATCATGGAAATCCAAATTAACCTTGAAAATTTGAATTGGATGAATTGCAACAGTCCTGTGTTTCTGAACTGTTGGTCCTTGTCTGAAATCAATGCATTGCGCGCTCCGATCCCGAAGTCTGACAAAGTTTGATGTGACAACAGATAAATATGCAAATGTGTGCCCAGATCTGAAAATGTATTCTTGTCACTCTTCAGATGGCACCTTGAGCTTGGTATTCAGACAGCAGTTCTTGGAGGGTGACAATACAGGCCAAACAGGTGACATGCACATCAGGTCATGAGCTTCAAGCTGCAGGAAAATTATGTAGTGTTTTATGGATATATAAGAGAAATGGCCCCAGGCCAAACCAAGCTCAGCATCTTTAATGTACCACCATGAGCATGGATGTGTAGAAGAAGAAGAAATGAGGCAAGTCAAACTTTTTCTCTCTCTCTCTCTCTCTCTCTCTGATCTCCTCGTCTCTCTCTCTCGTCTCTCTCTCTCTCTCTCTCTCTCTCTCTCTCTCTCTCTCTCTCTCTCTCTCTCTCTCTCTCTCTCTCTCTCTCCCTCTTCCCCATAGCCTCTCCTCTTCCTTGATGAATTATCAATGCTTTGAAGTCATCAGTATGCAGAGGGCAGATTTAAAGTTGGGATCAGAGACATCCCTGCAGACATGTGAAACCGACATTCTCAGACACAGAACTTAGCAGTGTTCCTGTCCGCGAGAACATGAGCACGCATCTTAATGAATTACACGTTTAAAGAAAAGATGTGCGTTTAAAGACCGGCTTCATCTCCTGCTGCTCTGCCGATCTGCATTTAAACTAAAGGTGCTGAGCAGAAGATGGCTTGCAATCATCATTACTGAAATATGCAGTGGTGCAGCCTTACTGGGCATTCTATAAACAGGAAGAAAGAGCAAAGCAGTGACTTTCAAATCACTCTGCACTAAACACAACTTAATAAACTTGTCAGGTTTCATTTTCAGCAAATGTCTGCAACGTTGGCAAAGAGAGACCTGCTCATTCATCCTGTTAGACTTTGATGATTGGCAACTATCTTAAACCTACAACAACAATCTACTTCGCCCGTGTGCAGTTACACGCCCTCAGTGGCAAATACATGTATTCATGAAGGAACTTCACTTATTGATCCTTGCTACACAGCTGGAACAGTACAAAGGATTAGCTTCATTATTCATAACGAAGACTCGGGACCGATGGAGACGGTGCTCTCCTGACGTTTTAATGCATAGAAAACAGCCTCTTCCTCAACAAATACGATCAGCATTTTCCACCATCATGCTCCCCCGTCTCCGCTCTCATTTGTTTGCCTCAGAAAAACGTATGTGATTCATCACTGACTTGCTCCCATGTTGATTATGCAGCAGGGGAGCCAAGTTCTTTACAGAAACTTAGCTATTGATCACAGTGATATTTATTGTGACTGGCACTCAATTTGTGTCAATTTGAAACAATCATTGAAAGCAGCATATGTGTCATTAATAATGGAGCTAGTAAATATAATCACCGGGTCAAGAATAAACTCTGTGCCTAGACACACCAAATGCCGCTGTGGAAGGGAAAGGTTGCTGCAAGAGGTTGCTCTGGAGATGCCCATTTTGAAAGATGACTGGAGTGTGGTGAGGGATGTCGCTGCTCATCATAATTGCAGTGGACAGCGTCTAGACATGCTACATTTACCAAGTGGAAGCTGATCTATTTTATGACCAGATGACAGCTTTCACCCGTCACAGGACCAGAGCACAGCAGCAAAGAATAAACACTAAAAGCACAAATCAGCTCATTGCAGACTGAATATGATGGTAATGTGAAACCCGATTCACATTATTGCACAAGAGAAATTCTAATTTGTCAAAAACAAATGACCAAAGAAAAGTTGTGTGCATCAAGCTGCAGCGCAACAACACAAGCAGTCGTCCGTCATCGGCATCTGTGATGCAAAAGTTTCAGCTGAGGCTGTGCTCGCTCCACTGCATTCAGCAACGTGCATCAAACTCTGTCACCGTCTGAGACGCTGCGGTGATTCAGCAAGCATTGCTAAAAGTATACAAAGTTTATGATTCTTTTTTTCTGATTCAAAAACTTTTACTTTAACTCTGCAACAGTCTCCAGCTAAAACACCTCTCTCATATCAAAAGGTTCTTTTCACATTAGGAATCACCAAATCAGAAGGAGAAGGAAATGACAGCAGTTTAAATGCTTCAGATGCAAAAAAGTAGAACATTCCAGCACTTTGGGGTTGTTTATGATTCCTAAAGTGACAAGTGATTCATTTTCCTAACAACTAATATTCAGGAAAGCTCTAACATCGACAGAAACAAACACTTCCTTTTCATATTTTACGTCTTTGTGACAGATGTAACCCATGACTGATTCAGATGACAGTGAGACTGCGTTTGAGCAGCCATGCATTGCAGGGCTTATTAGCTTCTGAGAAGCTCTTAATGGAGTCAGGAGCATTTCACATGAGGCTTCACTCAGATACTCATCTTCATCAACGCTGTAGCTCTGACATCCAGGGCAGAGGTCAGCTCACTTCTCATTTCATCATGTAAATTATCTTCATGTATGAATAATAAGAAATGATTTTTTAATCTCATGAACATCTGGATTCTCTTCAGCTTTTGGTTTAACAGAAAGTCATCTCCAGCTTTGTTAGCACAAACAAACTAAACACACTGAATGAAGGAGAAATATCTAAATGGGGTTTGAATGTGATTGACTGCTTACAAAGTAAAAATCTTGATGTTGCAACAGAGGGCAACACCAATAATCTCCCATCTGCATCCCTGACTGTCGAATTCTATTTCAGTCCTAACTGAGCCTTTCCTCTCTGGCGCTGATGTTGATTTTCATTTGTTATTCATGAATTTCATGAATTTCATTTGCTTGAAATAATCGTCTGAAAGGGTGAGCCGTTAATTTGATGTAAGGAGAGATTTTATTTCTTTTTCAAATAAAAAGTGGACACAACCACAATGAACGTCTCAGACAAGTTGTAAAGAACACAGGAGTGCTCCTTACTGCTGTCAAGAGATGTGTCACAACTTCCTCGAAGAAAAGCCAAACGGAAATCTCAGCCAGACTTTCAGTCCAAACACAAGGAGGCTTTTTCTCTGCAGACTTCTATAATTAGTATCATAATTATCCTAATGGTGGAGTAAAAGCAGACTTACGTAAGCACTGAGGCAGGTCTCCGCTCCACGTTCCGTTGCCGGCACAGGTAAGCACAGCGGGGAAGGAGAGCTCATAGCCAGGCAGGCAGCCGTAGCTCAGGCTGGAGCCCCACTCCAGAACCGAGCCCTCCAGGCGGCCGTTGGGTACGGAGGGAGGTGTGGGACATATCACCACTGTGGGGACGGAGGACACGTATATGTATGCATTAGCCCAGGTTAACAAACACAACACAAGATTTTAGACCCCAGTTAAAGAAAATGCAGAAAAACCTGCAACTCGTTAAAGAAAAAAGCCGAGGCAGACCTAAAGAAGACCTCAGAGGGTTAAAGCTGCTATAGCACACTTGGAAAACAAGCTAGCTTAAAATCTGTTTTTCATGCCTGTGTGTGAATGGGTGAACGATTGTGTTGTGAGGTGCCTTGGGGAGTTGTAGAACCCTAACAAGGTGCTATACAAATACAGGCCATTTACCGTTTACTCTCACATTTGTCTACAAACCTCCACCAATAACACATTTCAGACCAAAGCAACGATTGGATGATCCAGTTGTCAGTGCCGCTGATCCGCCACACTTCCCTGGGTCCTCCACTCATCACGCACTCATGCATTTGGCAACAGAACACCGCCGGTCTGAGAGGATCTCCGCTCAGTATTATCAGAGGAGGAGAACCAGCCAGCTGCTACCACTCCAAACGGTGATTTTCTTTGTGGGACTCTGGTCCTAAAGTTGAAGTGACGGACAACTAAAGATGTTTAGACCCAGAAAACAACGACTGGAGTTTAGCTCTATCTAGTTTTCTCTGGTAATGTGTGTTTCTGTTTAGAGAGGACATGGATACAGGGAGGGGTGAGTGATCTGAGATTGTGTCTGCATTCCAAAGCTAGCTTGTTTTGTAGATTTATTTATAGCAGCTTTAATCCAAGTTCATCAGAAAGGTTAACATTCAGATTTCATTCTATGCATTTAGGTTATTTGTATCAGCATTAAATCTCACTAATTACATCAAACATCAATTAACTATGTGACTTTTTGCCTTTTTACTATATTTGCACTTAAAATAACATTTCAGTTGTTTATTTACTCATTTAATTTCCTAGTATCACAGTACCTGCATTTAATTTTAAATTAGTCGTGAGAAAAACGAATCAAAGGTTAGGCTTAACTATGAAGTACATAAATATATTAATGATGTAGTAAATAAAACATCAAATTAATTTCAACAATAACAACGTTTCACACCTCTCTGGTGATCACGGCTCACAAATTGTTAAATTGACTTTTTGACCCTGATTTAAAGTTGAAGAAGGACAAAACAAAATGCACAAATGGCGTGACATCCGGAATAGAAAGATAAGAGAAAAAACCTCACAAATATCAGCTGACTGATATTGATGTGTTTATTGATCTTCTATTCAACATTTGGCTCTCTGATATAAATCCTTACAAACGGTCCAAACATCAGCTGCTCTGCTCTCTGGAGAACAGGAGAGGTCAGAGGTCATATAAATATTAGATTTTTCTGCCGAGGACATGAGCATGAAGGCTCACGGCTTCTCCCGTTCCGATCCAAACAGAAGCTACACCACTTTGTGAAACAGAAGAGGCAATGCTGCGGTTCTATAAAAATAAAAATAAAGCTACAGACATGAAATCAGAAATTAGATTAAAATTGTTTATGATGCGTTTAAAAATGTGAAAAGATGACTAAAAAAACACATGAAGCATTAACTACTGGAGATGATTTAAAGGTATTTAAGCAGCAGCTCCTCTGCAGACTGGGCCTGAAGACACCTTCTGTGTTTTGACTGTAAAATATTTTATTTCTCAGTTATCGTTGTGCTGAATGATATCTGTGAGGGATGAGGGGACATTATGCATCCGTGTAAGCCATAAAAGTTCCTGCTCAACAAATGCAATAAAAGAATGCATAATAAAGCTCTGACTTTGTTGGAGAAGGACCTGTGGGGATGCAGACTGGATGTGGGTTTTAGGGATGTGAGTAAATTACAGCCAGTCTTTGAAACGGACCTAGAGTCTCTTTTAGGCGTACGTGTTTATGGTGCAACGCTTCAGCAAACATTGGTGAAGGGAAGTCAGGTTTGCTTCAAACTATCAGGCAAGATCACATGTCTAGTTTAGAAAGTTAATTAAAGTGTCATGTTAAGATCTCGAGGTATGATTTTGGTTTACTGGCTGTATTAAAACATGACAAAATTAGAGTGGAGGAACAAGATGAAGGCAAAATCAACAATCTTGTGAAAATCCTTTTAGGCTAAAAGATCTCAAAGTTCTAAATTACCCGGTCTAAAGAGAAACACAAACCCAGAAAAACATCCAAAATCCTGCAGCCAGCTGAGAGACATAGTCCCTCCAGCATGTCCCAAGTCTTCCTTTAGGTCTTCTCCCAGTTGGATCACCTCACCTGGCTCCTTTCGATGTGGAGGAGCAGCGGGTCTACTCCGAGCCCCACCCTGATGACCGAGCTTTTCACCCTATCTCTAAGGGAGAGCCCAGCCTCCCTGTGGAGAAAGCTCATTTCAGCCGCTTGTATTCACAATGTTGTTGTTTTAGTCACTACCCAAAGCTCGTGACCATATGAGGTTTGGAACGTAGAACAACCAGTAAATCGCTAGATAGTACAACGCCCGCATCACTGCAGATGCAGCACCGATCCGCCTGTCGATCTCACGCTCCATCTTTCATGAACAAGACCACGGGTTACTTAAACTCCTACCCTTGGGACAGGACCTCGTCCCTGACCCGGGGAAGGACTTGTACCCTATTCCGATTCAAAACCATGGTCCCGGATTTATGACCAGGTATCGTGCCTGGTTCTGGTCTTGTTCAAGTCTGGACTCAGCTGATCTGCAGCATTTAAAGGCTGCTGAAATATAAAATGAGATCAACACAGTCGATAAAGAAAAGGACACCAAAACTCTGAAGCAACAAGGAAATGCCTAAGAACTCGCTGATTTCTAGATATCATTTTTTTATTATGTTTATTACGATGACTGTGTGAATAAAAGCCGACATCCGATGTTCAACTTTCCTGCCACATTTTTATCTTTTTTTTGTTGTGGTTTGCTCATTTGGTTTTCTCAGCAGTGAGCAACAATATATATGGAACAGACCACAGTGGGATATTCAGACATTCTCTCTGAGGAGGAAACAGCGTTTGTTCTTGGTTGGCAGTGGATCTGAAGCCATTTCCATATGGACATTTTGCAGCTGCATACGTAACATATACGCCTCACAGGTAAGCTATGGTCGGAAATATATTTAGGCTGTGATGAACAAAAGTTCAAAGGCAAAACCTTCCTGACGATGCTGATGTCACATGTTTACTCAGGGTTACGACATGAAAAAAGTTCAGAGGGAAAGTTTCACTTGGAAAACTGATTCAGTCTGAACCGCAGAGCTAAAACTCTCAGCTAGCTTCTGCTACAACTGAAGAAGGACCAGAATGTGCAGCTGGGATTTTCTGCAGCATAAATGGGGGGGGGGTCATAGTTGCAAAGTGATGGTGAGAGAATGTTTGAGCACTTGTGTGCGAAGGAGGAAAATTACACTGGTTAAAGGAGAAGGCCCTCTGATCTCACCAGCATTGCTTTAGAAATTACTTGAAAACACAAAAGAAGAGGAAAAAACCTCCAGGCATGGGTGGCAGAGAGACGTGAACGAGACGCGGAGAGTGGCCTCATTTTCCTAAGTAGTTCTAAGCAGCATTAGAGCATTAGTGCCTCTTAGCTGAACATGCCAAACCTGGGATTCAAACCGAATCCTTGCCGGTCGAGGCTTTGGATGCGTCATCGGCAGCGTGTGTGCACACACATCACACACAACACCGCAGCCACCGCTGACACTCACGTGCTCTGTGCAGAATTATGCACATAGTCGCAAACGTAAGTGTTCTCCATCTCTTTTAGTCTCCATTTGTCTCTCTCTGCCTTTCCCTCCTTCCTTTTTACTTCCCACTCTGTCTCTTTATCACCACCCCCACCTTCCCACCACCCCCTCAACTCAGCTCATATCCCTGTGGCACATCATCTAAATCTGTGACAAGATGACAGATGCCCTCCTTCACGTCAGTTTTAAACAGCTCATCCTGCCTGAACTTCTGCACCTCCAACTTACAGCCAATCACACAAAAAACAAAGGGGAGGGATCAGAAGCTTCATCAGCGACAGATTAAAGAAATAAATTCTCTCACTCCTTCATAAAACATCTTGCAGTGTACGCTGTCGATGTTAGAGATGATTAAAATAGCATGATTGCTATTGCTGGTTTCAGATGTTTTGAGAAAAAAGACCAAAAAAGAAGGAAACAGTGATGACAGAGAGGGAAAAAGAAACCCTGAAACATTTCAAACTGAGAAACAGCTAAATTACTGTAGATGAGCTACTTAGCAATCACACCCTCTCTACTGCCCTTCTTTTATTCATTTACCCTATGCAAGAAATAAGTGCTACTGGAGACTTGCGGGTGTGAGAAGAGGCAGGAGGGTTCCTACGGGTCACTTACTAATGTGTGCAGGTCAACATGGCCTGACAGCACTCAGACTGCAGAAGAAGTCGTGGGAGGAAACGTGAAAAATGTGGAGCTCTTTGGATACGTATGCATGAGACAGAGTGTGTAGCAGTAAGGAGTCACAATATTGTATGAGCTTGTGATGGTGTGTGTGTGTGTGTGTGTGTGTGTGTGTGTGTGTGTGTGTGTGTGTGTGTGTGTGTGCGCGCGTGTGTGTGTGAGTGTGTGTGTGTGTGTGTGTGTGTGTGTGTGTGTGTGTGTGTGTGTGTGTGCGACAGGGAAACAAAAACAACAGAGTGTGTGATCCACCACAGGAGATGTCAGAGGAAGGTTAGGAGAGTCAGAAACTTTTCAATTCAGAGGAAAACTCCCTTTTAACAGGAAGAAACCTCGAGAGGATTCTGGCTCAGTATAAGCAGCCTTCCATCATGACTCACTGGGGATGGAGGACACACACACACACACACACACACACACACACACACACACACACACACACACACACACACACACACACACACACACACACACACACACACACACACACACACACACACACACACACACACACACACGCACAGACGCACGCGCACGCACGCACACCAAGTAGTGTTTCTATGGTTATATTGTGATTTCTTAGTAAAT